TGGCCCACTTTCTTACTTGATTTTCTAGTCTTGCTGGAAGTTACCTTAGGAAGCGCCTACGGAGCCTGTGCAGCATCCTGAACTTCCTGGTGGGCGTGCGCCTGTCACTACGGTGACTGTTACTGGACTTTTACACGGGGCACCACAGATACAGTACTGACAAAAATTTCCAGGAGGTCAGTTTCCCTCCCAAGGGGTGCAAACCAGGGCTAATTCTTACCTCCATCTGCAGGAGTCTGTGGGGTGTGGTGGTGAGGGTCAAATGGGCCACTCCTTTCAAACTTTTACCTTTCACTCCTCTGCAGCAGTTTCACTCTGTCCACCTGACCTCCGGGTCAGCCTCATCCTTGTCAGTGAAGAAAACTTTGCAAAATCAGTGGTCTTCTTGGCACTTAGAAGAAAAGTGGATTCTGGAGGCAGAGAAGGTACAGGAGGCAAAAACCCCTGGTTGGGCCTGCTGGACATTGTTGCTCTCTGGAGCTCTCTTTTTTCTCCAGGAAAATGGGAATCAAAGCACTCACTTGGCCAATTTGTGCTAAAGCTTAATTAAATGAAAAAAAGAGAATGAAGCAGTTAGATGAGGACTTGCATGTAGAAAGTGCCCAATAAATGTTGCTATTATTAATTAAGAGGTGGTTCATACAAAGAAATACCACCGTAGAACTGTTTGCTGCAAGGTATGGAATAACAACATTGACTTTGGAGAGAAGGAGAGAGAAAGAGAGAGAGAGAGAGAGAGAGAGAGAGAGAGAGAGAGGCTGGACTGAAAAGTATGGATGTGTCTGAGTCAGACGTTAAGTGACTTAACTTTTTTTTTTTTTGTCTTTTTCATTTTTATCGGTACCGGGGATCAAACTCATGACTGCCTGCTTGCAAGGCAAGTGCTTATGACGCTGAGCTAAATTCCCAGCCCCAAGTGACTTAATTTTTTCTGGAAATTGATTTTGGTGCAAGTTACCCAGTGGAATTGCTGACCTGAATTCTGAGAAAATAACAATAATGACACTATTTAATGTGTCTTGAGCTCTTACTCTGTCCTAGGAACTGCTCAAAAGTGCTGTATATATATTAAATCATTAAATCCACAACTGTCCTGTGAGGTTTTGCAAATGAGGAAGTTTGTGCCTCCATTAAGGGACTGGATTGAAGTGACACAGCCAGTTGAAGTGGCAGAGCTTGGGACCTGAAGCCAGGTGATCGGCTTCCAGAGACAAAGGCAATTAAGGGTATATGTGCTATCATTGAAAACTTGTTTGAATACTTACAAGTATATTTGAATTTCATGATAGGGGTTCTGGCTCAGCTCTTATGGTCTGGACCTGTGAACACTGTCACTGTGGAAACGTGATCAGATTTGGATCAGGGATTTGTACCTTCTTCTTTTCCTTGCCATGAATATTAGGTGCATGCCTGCTTTTAGTTCCATCATTAGGGTCGTCATTCCTCACAGGGAGCAAGTTTTATACCTGAACCTTGGAGAACTATAAATACAGTGTGCTAACTGATTATAAACACTGGAGTTCTTTAACCTTGGAGAACTATAGATAAAATCAGCAGTCTTTCAGGTTTCACTGAAGAAACATGAAACTCAGAGCCAAAACATGTTTACCTTAGTGTGGATTAGGTCTGAAGTGTTTGGATTAAGGGAAAACCTAGGCCCCCCTGCTGCAGAACCCAGAATAGCATGGGAGAGGAAGGCAGGCAGGGGTCTGGGGACAGGAAGCAGCCTCTGAATTCTGTCTTGTCTCCTAAAGGCAGGGAGAGGGCCTGGGGCTTCTGGTGGGGGCCACGTATCACCGGAAAGAGGAGTTGTGTCTCCTGTCCATGATGGAAGTGGAAGGCTGGGTTAGTACCAGAGTGAATCAAAATAACAACTGCTCTTCCTAGAGACTTTATGAGGACTTCACCCATGTCTGCTAATGCTCTTTCCTTCTTGTGAGTATCAAATCAACCTCATGTTTCCTTCTCCTGTGGCTCCACCATAGTGCTCTTTGTGGCTCCCCTTTGAGGGTACACAAGGCCTCCCCAGGTTGGCTCAAGGCAGGAAGCAGGATGGGGGTAAGGGGGTCAGTAAATGGTTTTTGCCTTCTAGTCTTGAGATCTCTGGCCAGGTGGGGTGTAGCCTTCTGGTGTTCTTCTGTCTGCAGTTTCCTCTCCTTGGGTTCTGCTCCTCCAAATGCTGTCCCAGGTTGCAGTAGAAGGGAAAGAGACCCAACGTAGAAACCTGGGCCCAAGGCCTGGCTCTGCACTGGTTTGCTCTGTATTGGCGTGAAGTCATTTTCCCCTCTCAGGACCTCAGGTTTCCTATCTGCAAATAAGGAGGTTAAATTTGATAAGGTCCATGGTAATTGGCAGCCTGAGCACTCTGTGAGCTGTGTTTCCTAGGCACTGCCCTCACCAAGAACTTTCAATGGCTCTCACTGGTGTCTGGAGAAGATCCCAGAGAGCACTGCCAAGGGAGTGGAACCCATCCAGAGCAGACACTGGGTTAGACCAGCAGTCTTGGCTTACAGTCCAGTGCTTTTCCACAGAGCTAATTCCCTGCCCTGGCATTCAGCACCTCCCCCAAGACCTTCAAAGCCTCCTGCCCACGGCGCTGTCATAGCATTGCCTTTCTCCATGCCTTTCACCTGGGGTCTTCTTGCAATCCTGAGCACATCTTTTGCTTCTGTTTTTGTGCCTGTCTTCATACCATCCCTCTCCCTGGACAGCTTGACAGTCTTTTCTGTTTTTCACATCTTGTGTTAAATGCCATTTCCTCCAGGAAGAATTTCTTGGGTCTTCCATCTGTCCTCCTCCATGACCTTCCCTTCACCTGAACTCTCTTGAGGTCCTCTCCCCATTTAACTTCTTCTCCCCTGGTTCCATTCTTCTTTAAGCCCTACTTCTGGCCAATCATACAAACACATGAGCTCCCTCCTCATGGAATCCATCTAGCTGTCTTTTGGTCTTACATTCGTTCTCTCTGAACACAAATTTCAGGTAGGAAAAGGCCTTTGTTGTTTTTTGAGATTCGATCTTGCTATGTAGTTCAGGCTAGACTAGAACTCACTGTTTAGCCCAGAGTGAGCTTTAACTCATGGTGATCCTCCTATCTCAGCCTCCTGAGTGCTGGGATTACAGGGGTGCACTACCATATCTGGTTTAGGAAGGGGTTTTAATTAAAAGAATTTAAGAAGATCCCCGGAATCATACCAGAGGGGCAGCCATGAGAGTGAGGGAATTAATGTGGGGTGCTCAGGTATCAGCCGACCACACTGTGGTAGCCCCTCTCTTGCTCTACCACTGAATCTGAGCTCTGCTGGAGAAGACACCTCCTATTTTCCCTTCTCACAAGTTAGTAGAACTTGTGCCCTATCGATACTCCCTAAAATGGGACTTTAGGGGCTTGGAGGAGATAGCAGGCTGCAACAGGACGCCAGGGGGCAGCATTGAGCTTCACACGGTCCGCACGGCCGCTTCTGTTCGCCAGGTCGTCCAGCTCTGTGGCACAGGTTGGGCAACAGCCAGTGGAGGGAAGGAGAAAGGTGTGCAGCAACAAGCACGGTGCTTTCTTTTTGGGTTAAACAGCGGCAGAATGAAGATGTAGGAGTGGTATTCTCTTTTTGGGTTGAAATGCGCTTTCGGGGAAGGGTGGCAGATCCCAGCTCAAGGGACTGAGTAAAAGGGAAGCCGTGCCCTGGTCCCAACTGTGTCTCAAACTGTTGTTTGGGTGTTGGCAACCTCCCCGCTGCCCTGGCCCAGCTCGAGGCCCCACCCTAGCTTGTCTCCTGAGGCCATCTTGTCTTATTTGAACTCTCTGGTCTGTGTGAGCAGGGCACGTTGCTCACCTTCTCTGAGCTTCTCTCTGTGCAAGCTTCTCTGAGATCTATATGTGGGCACTAGTGGAATAACCCTCCCCCCTTCAATGACACATCATCTGTGCCTTCCCTTCTCACTCCATAGGCAGGTCCAGGTCCCACTCTGTACTCTCAGAGGCCTTGGCCAGGTCCCCAGCTCCTCAGAGCATCTGTAAGATGGGACTAAAAATCCTATGTGCCACACACCTGGGAGGGGACAGACCCCACTCATGGAGGTGTAGCACATTGGAAGAACTTGGGCGCCCCCTCCCCAGCATGGGAGCGCTTGTGGAGTGAGAGGTTGCTCAAGTCTGGGTGTCCGAGTCTGGAGTGGTTATTTATGCAGGACTATAATCCTAGCACTTGAGAGACTGAAGCAAGAGGATCTCCAGCTTGGGCTAAGTAGTGAGTTTGAGGTCAGTCAGGACTACAAAGCAAGACTCTGTCTCAACAAACCAATCACCAACCAACAAGCCTGGGTGTCAGTGTCCAGAAGCATCAGGCTCCTGTGGGAGACTGCAAGAACCACACCACAGAGGAGGAATTTCACTCAAAGGAGGAAAATTCTCAGGGTGAAGGGTGGTTCTACACGGGCAGCGTCTGAGGCCCCTCACTAAAGCTCTTTAGGAAGAGGGCCTGCAGTTTTGGCCTCATTTCTGTGCAGAGGGATATTAGGTGAGAACTATCACCTTTTCTGTGCCTCAGTTTCCCTTCTGGTTCCTGCAAAGGCAAAGGGTGCCCCGCGAGACCTCCCCATATTCAGTTCAAAGGCTCGCTGGGTGTAGGAATCCCCGGTTCTTCCCTCAGCCAACGCTCCCCCACCCACCCTGGGGTAGGCGGACCCACCCAGGCACCCACTGGCCGACCTAAGGCCTGCCCGAAGCCGGGCTCGCCGCCTACCCGTGCGCCCCGCCCCGCCCGCCGCGCCTCCCTGGGCACCCGCATTAAAGCGCATATGCAAGCCATGAATTATCAACTGAAAGGAGTCAATTACCGGCTCTAAAAACGAGTGTCTGCGCCCGGAGTGCCCGGGGCCATCCGCCTATTTACGGAGCGCTCTTCCCCGCCCCACCGGGGAGGGAAAAGCCGCAGACCTGAGCCTGAGACGGCGCGAGTGGCAAGCGGGGAGGCCGGGCTGGGAAGCGGGGCGCGGGGCGAAGGGCGAGACCGGGCGGGGCCGCCTGGGGCTCAGCCGGGCCGGAGCGGCGAGATCCGGCCATCCTGGCAGGAACCAGCGGCAGGCTGAGGCCTTGCTGTCTGCGGAGGGGAGGAATGGCCGGCCCTAAGGCAGGCAGGAAGGACAGGAACGGGGAGGAGGTGAGGATCGGCCTGATGGGGCTAGATGTGAGGGTGTCTGCGTGGACGCTCAGCAAGGAGCGAGAAATGGCCAACAACAACCATAGAGGGCTCAGGAAGTCCTGCCCCTCAGCTGTTTCCTCCTCTGGAAATGCTTTTTCTGTCTGACTCCTCACCCTCTGATTCTGCATCTCCCTGGCTTCTGCACCTGTCCGTTCTATTCCACATCCAGACCTGACTTCCCTACCAGGTGGTGGGTGTAGGAGCAGGGTCTTGTTTACCTTGCTTAATGTCTTCTGTGGAGGCTGCCCCCTGATATTTGCTTTTTGAGGAAGAAAGGGAGAGAGGAAGAGGAGAGAAGGAAGTGAGCTAGGGTAGAGGGGATTTAGGTATGAGAGCTATGACCACAGTGGGAGGCAGGTAGGCCCAGAGGGGCCCTCCCATACAGAATGGAGGAGGAAGGCTTCAGCCAGACACAGTGCTGGGGGTGGGGATGGAGAGGAGCTGTGGAGTCGCAGCAGGGGTCCAGAGAAGAAATGGAAATCTAGAGGGAAAGGGACCAGAAGCCTAATATCACCAGCTCCAGCAGGCACTGTCAGAGACCCATGGCTGAGCCCTGAGGGCCCCTTGCCATCCTAGGCCTCTTCTGGAAAGAGTGGGTAAGTGACCCCCGCCTCAAGAAACTAGGGAAGGAGCAGGCCGGGCAGGGGTAAGAATGTGGGTTAGGACTAGAACAGTCTTTCTCTCTCCCAGTGTGATCACAGGCTTCACTTCTGAGCCTCAGGTACCTTGTCTATCAAATGGGCAGGATGCTGCCCCCTTGCCGTGAATGTCCTGACATCTGCATAGCATTTTCCTTAAGTCCTTATTCTCACTGACCTGAGCTAAGAATATGAATAACCATCATTTACTGAAGCTTACAAGGTACCAAGCACGTTTTAAAGAGGTCATCACTGCACTCCTCACAGCTTTCAGAAGCTGCTGCTGCTGAAACCACAGGCTGAAATCAGGAAGCATCAGTATCAGGCCTGAAGCCAGCTCTGACAGCAGAACCTCTGGAAGTCTCCCTGTCCTGAAGAGCTTCTGCCCAGTCCTCAGGGCCCCTCTAGTCTGGCTGAGTCTAGATCCACAGTGGAGTGGGGCTGGGGGTCACTAGTGAACAGGGCAGCTCAAGTCTTGTAAGGGCGGCCCCTGGAGTCTTGTTCCTGCCATGGTGTGGGCTGGGCGTCCAGGCTGATGGGTCTGCGACCGCCATGCCATTAACAGGCAGCCAGAGGGGGTGTCTGCGAGCATCAACGCTGGGGTTCCTGTGCCGCTCGCCTATTAGTAGATGGTGGCTTCACAGTGATTTATTGGGGCTTCTTCATTTCCCCTTGGTCTGCTATAAACATATTTATACCACCAGAGTGACCGATAAATTTCCCTTATGAATCCTGTTATCTCCCCTATTAACCATCCGTCACCTTTTATGCGGCCACAGTGGGCCAGGCTAGGGCACCAGGGCTGGGTGGGCCACAGCCCCTTACCCCTGTGAACTCTTCACCTCCCCCATGTTCTGCAGACTGGCGGCTGCCGCCACTTTCCAGCTGCTTTCTAGGGTGAGACCAAATTTCATCAGGGAGGGCCTTTGAAATGTGGCTTTCTCCAGGGTCTAAGAATGGGGAGCCCCTCTTGGTGCTCTCTGGAATCTCTCCTACAGTTGCTCTGGCTTTCCCTCCTTTAAGTGCACAGGATTCTCCTGGAGCTGCTCTACTTCTCCTGTCCCTCTCTCGACTCTCAACCCCATCTATTTCTGTGGGGCCAAAAAATAAGACACAAAGCTGTGTAATGGCGCACTCCTATAAGCCCAGCACTCAGAATTCTGAGGCAGGAGAATCTTTGCAAGTTCAAGACCAGCCTGGGCTTCAAAGTGAGTTCAAGGCCAGCCTGAATTGCATAGCAGGACCTTGTCTCAAAATGACAAAAAACAAAACAAAACAAAACAAACCTAGTGTGATGACAGAGTAGCCTGATGCTGGTTGGTGTTGGTGAGCGCCCCCTCTCTGCCAGTCTTTTGCTATATGTGACTTTATGTGACCTTCCTCACAATCTCAGATGTTTATTGCTCCATTTGTCAGATAAGGCTGAGTAAATAAGGCTCAGAGACATTCAGTGAGGAGCCTTAGGTCACCCAGCTGAGGGACAGAGCTGTAATCTGGGGTTTTCAGTCACTGTAATATACATCCTGTCAAAATGCCATAGGTGGGGAGAGGTTCATCCAAAAAGTTTTTCAGCAGAGTGTTCTAGGGGGAGGAAGATGGGGTGCCCAGTAGAGCAGGAAGTGACCTCTGTTTCTCTCCAGTCCAGTTGACTTAACTTGGACACCTGTTAAGCCCTAAACTTCTGGGCATAGCACGCAAGGTCTTTACAAGCCTTAAGGCATCTGTCTGGCCACATCTGAAAGGGACCTGATGCATGGCCAGTAGACTGGGCCCTGGCTCAGACCTTCTCAGCTGTGTTCCTGTGATGAAGCTCCACCATCTCCAGGCTCAGCTGTTGTGGGCATGGAGTTCTGTGTTTTGGAATATGGCTGTGTGTGGGTGTGAGTGTGGGGTGTACATGGGAATCCTGTTTTCTCCCTCTTCATCCACAAAGTCAGCTGGGACCTTATGGGAAGCCCCTCTGGGGCTCAGATGACCCACATCCTCCACAGGAGGTAAATTTTGAGATTAAGGTCTACACCTTAAATCCTGGTATTTCTTCAGGAGCTCAAGGGAGTGGACTTAGGTGGGTATTGTTATTACTATTTTATGAACAGGGACACTGAAGCTCAGAGGGGAGCCAGAACAGAACCTTGAGTTAAGGCATGTGACTGGGAGAGACTCAGCAGCATGAGGCAGAGAGAAGCTGGAGGACGGCATCTGCAATCTGCACACTCTGCACAGCCATGGGTGCAGGTGGCTGCAGTCTAAGGGAAGTCTTGTTACTGTTGTCCAAGACGCAGTGTCCTGGGTGGTCGGGGTGGGGGGTGGCTGGGGAGAGAGGATTATGGGCTTAGCATCCCAAGCAACAGATTCTCTTCTGAAAGAGGGATGTGGCAAAGTCATTCTAGCCATTCTCCTGCCTCCCATGGTCCTGTGGGAAGAGCTGTTGGGGAATGGCTGCCTCCCCACACCCTAGCACTTGGGGGAGACAGCCCATGCCAGGGGAAGGAGTCCTGAGTTCAGGCCCCACTTGGCCTGTGACCTGCTGTGCAATCTGGAGCGTGTCTGGCCCTTTCTGGGCTTTACCCCTTTGACAGTCTCCAGCTCAGGCCTGCTGTGTGCCATGAGGAGAGTCCCATCCTTGGACCAGAGTACCTGAAAGGGGGTCTGGGGAATAAGCAGGCCCCTCAGCCAGCCAGATGCTTTGGGAGCCTTGCCTGCAGCCTTTCTCAGCGTTGCTGTCTCGGCTGCCTGCTCTCCTTGCTCCCCTCTCTCCTTCCGCTTGCCTTCTCTGTGCTACCATCTGTCTGTCTGTCCACCTTTATCTCTGGTCTGGCAGCCCTTCCTCCGCGTCCTCATGTCCTCTCCTCTCCACAAGGTTGGCCTCCCTGGGGTGGCTGTAGGGCCTGGATCATGCGTGAGAGAATGTGTGTGTGTTCTGCCTCCCTCTGCTTCCCCCCTTAGTCATTTTCAATGTCATAAATTTCCACGTCTCTCTCCTCCACTCGGCTATTACCTGCGCCTCCGTCACCGGGCAGCGCTCCCGCTCCCAGATGGGCTAGGCCATCTCCATTCTGCAAATGACTCAGGGAGAGAGAGGCAGGGAAGGAAGGAGAGAAAGGAGCTGAGAGACATGAGAGATTGAGGGAGAAGGTGGGTGAAGAGAAGACAGAGGCAAGCAGATAGGGACAGAGAGGCAGCCCAGGAGAGCTCAGCCCCTTCTCTCCTCCAAATACAAAGGTCATTGCCAGCAGGGAGTCTGCCTGGCACCAGAGCAGGACAGGTGGCGGTGTGCTGAGTCTGGGAGTGGGGCCAGGCAGAGCTCTGTCTCTGCCCAGTGTGGGCCCTGCTGCAGCCTCTCCCTATACTCCCATTTCTCTGGCTGCCAGGCTCCTGACAAACAGACCCCCTTTTCCCTCCAGGGAGGGAGCCCTCTGCTAGGCAGCTTGATAGAGCTTAGGGTCCCACAGGGGAGAGGGAGCTATCCTCTTCCTTCACAATTGGGGTTCTGGGTACAGGACTCTCCACAGACAGGGCTTCTCAGGACCATGTGAAAATGTCCCCTTGCACTCTGTGTTTGCCTCTGCTTTCTCAGGCCTAGTCCTTTGGATGGGAGCTGGTTGAGAAATCAGACAGCCTGTTTTGGGTACTTCTAGACAGCCCTGTGGGGAGGAAATAGAGCAAAGGAAGGGCCAGAGCAGCCAGGCTAAGGGACTCATGGCCCCCAAGGTGCTGCTGGGAAGGACACAGTGGAGCTCCAGCTGGTGCTGCTGCTGATGTGAGTGATGGCTGTGGTCGTGGGAGGGCAGCCCTGCAGCTGACAGCAGCCCCCTAAAGGGCTTTGAGCCTTCTGCTCTCAATACCTCCAATTGTTCCTCTGCTCCCCAGAGTGACTGAAAAAATGCAAATATGATTATGTTTTTTTCTGGCTTAAATCCTCGAACAGCTCCACATCTTACTGAGAGCAAAAGTGAAGTTCCTTCTGATTCTGTGCCCTTCCCCGCTTCTGCCTGCCGACAAGGCCTAGGCCAATGGTGGCGAACCTATGTCACCTAGGCTACGGTGGGCTGTGTGCATCATTGAAAGTGCTGCAAGGTTTGCCATCACTGCCCTAGACTGTCCACCCAGGGCCTTTGCCCTGTTTTCCTTGCACAGAGCTGGCTCTTCCTCTCTAGCCCAAATGTCACTACACAGGGAAGCTGACCCTGGTGACCTCATCAAATGACAGGTGACCCCATTCATCTCTATCATGGCTTCCTGAATAATTATTTTATGACTCGTTTTACACATTTTGTCATTACTTGTTTACTTAGCTGTTTTCTGGTTTAATGTTCAGTTCCTCTGATGGACAGTACCTCTGATGGCCAGTATTTGTGTTGTTCATCAGAGACAGCACCTGCTACAACATGAGTCTTCAAGAAGCATTTGTTAGGCAGGTATGGTGATGCATTCCTGTAGGAACACTATAGGAGGCTGAGACAGGAGGATCAAACATTTGGGTGGGAAACTTCGTGATTTAACAAGACCTCATGTCAAAAAATAAAAAGGTTTAGAGCAGTAGTTCAGTGCGACAGTACCTCTGAATTCCATACCTGGGCACATTACCTCAGGCTGGGCTCAAATTCACTGTGAGCCTCTTGCCTTGGCTTCCCCAGTACTGGGATTACAGGTGTGCATCACCATGTCCAGTTTTTAAAAAGCATATATTGAATAAATGATGTGGATAATGTCAGTGCATTTTCTTGACTGGTTTAGATGGAGGATCGATGTTGGGATGGATATTGAACTAGGCTGGTGGCCTCAGATCACTGTCCTTCTAGTGAAATTTGTTGAAATCTCAGTATGATAGATCATAAGGAATGACCTCTTGCCTTGATGCTGGGAATTTGGCTTATGATCAAGGGTGAGGCTTCAAAAGAGAGTTTTCTTTATTAAAGCCACACCCTCATATTAGATTCTCCCTACCTCTGGGTACACACACACACACACACACACACACTTTCTGTTCTCCATGCAGAGTGGTCTAATATAAACCACACTTATACACAGAGTCCCTCATAGATGCTCATACAAGGCACACAGAGGGACAAACTTGGTTACATACATTCCCACACATGCCAGACACTCCACAGGCATATTTGTGAACAGACACACACATATGTATATGCTACTACATATATGTGCTTATGTGTGCAGAGTCATCCAAACCAGCACAAACACTTAGATATCAAGAGAAAACACCTGTTCACTTGCCTTCTTGCTCAGGATCTATTCCATGGAGAGACACCCCAGGCTCCAAGGTCCCTCTGGCAGTGGAATGCACTACACTGAGGGGTCTGCACTCTCTGGTCTGCCCCCTTTGTGTGCATGTGTGTATAGGTGCATACATACCCTGGTTTACTGCCCCAGCACTCTGCTTGGACAGACTCAGACTTCCAAGGGTCTTCTTTGTGGCCAGAGGCAGCCCAGTGGGAACTGGGGTCAGGACTTTGTCCATGGACAAGGTCAAGGTCCACTGAGTGACTGGGATGAAGCTCATTTGGGACAGAGGTCAAAGGTCAGTCAGGGATTTAGATTTTTCTTAATGACCTGTCTCTGCTCACAGGTGTATCCACTTCCATGGGCAGTATTCCAAGATGCTGCTGCAAGGCCAAGACTCAAGGTCCTCCTCGTGAGCCTCTGCAGCTGGCAGAAGGTGGGTGGGGGCAGGTGGGGGCCAGGCCTGGGCAGATAGCTGTGAGGTACGTTTCCATCTCCGCAGGTCGGGCGGGCGAAGCCATTTCCAATCTGCTCTCTATCATTTTCAATATCATTAATCCCAGACACTCTATTTTCCATGCCTGCGCAGCCAGGCCCCCGAGTGTGCGCTGTGTAAAGTGACACATATTCATCACCAGCTCGTGGCGCTGGCGCCGACGCTGATACAATATTAGTGTTGCCCCCCCGCTTGGGGCCCACTCTGCCCGGCTCCCCGATGGCACGAATCCATCACCTGGAGCCTGTGTCACTTTCCCCAGCAGCCACATTTGTTTGGGCACTTAGGAGGTAATTGCAGCACATTAGCAGGGTGGGCAAGGGTGCCGGCCCCCATGAGGAGGGGAGACTGAGGCGTCCTCCTTGCAGCTGAAACCCATCCTGGCCTCTTCCAGCTCCTGGGCTCTGACTGGGCTCCTAGAATCTTGGATTCTTGCTCCTACAAATATGTACTTATGTGTGTGCATAAGTACCCATAAGTTCTGGAGAACTCCATGTGGGAGAGGTCCCAATTCTGGGCCCAGGGGGAGGCCATAGAAAGGATCCTTTGCTCCCTGTGTGCTCAAGCTGGTGCTTGCTCTAAATGAGGCTGAAACTCACAGGTGAGGGCTTTGAAACCTTTTTTTGGCAAGTCTTCTCTATCCCAGAACTGAAATTCAGATTGTGGCAACATCTGTCCCATAGCAAGAGGTGTTGGGAGTAATGCAGAAGGGAAAAGACACTTTCCAGTGCTCAGAAGCCCAACTCAGAGGTACAATCTGGCCTGCCCTGGAAGCCTGGGTCTGAGAGGAGAGCCTTGACTGTGCGATGTGTGATATGGGCTAGGTCTCAGCAATCCTGTCTGAGTCTAGCTGGAAGGGGATGCGACATCATGACCACTAGAGGTGGCCCAGGCCAGGGTTTTTTTTGGGAAGACTGCCTGGAAGTGGTGAGCTTCTGGACAAGGAGGCCTAGAGCGGCTGCAGCAGAGGGAAGGGCAGCAGCCAGGTATTCGATTTGAGCACAGGCCAGACCATAGGGGGCATGGGTTCCTCTGCTGCAATCCACAGGGCTAACACCCATTAACCTCGTCAGCAGACAAATTGCCCATCTTGTCAAATTCCCATTTAAAATGCAAACTCAATTTGACAGAGTAAACTGAGCAGAGGTGGGAGTGGATAATCCAGTGGAGGCTCATTAGTGAGGCCCAATGAGAGGGGCCTGCTGGGATGGCCTAACGAACCCGCCATGATGAACCTCCAGCCCATTAACATCCACCATCACTCGATACTCCAACTCACATGCCCTGCCTCACCCCTTCACTGTCTTACCCCGCTCAAGGAGTCAAGGACCTCAGCTGCTGACCAGCTCCTCTAGGAAGGTATATCTGAGGGCTTTCGAAGTGTGAAGAGCTGGGAACATCTCTGCCCCTCTGCTTGTCTACTCAGTGGCCTTCTGCAGCAACAACAGCAACCATCCCCTCCTCAGTCTCCACTGGGACGCTGAGTGTGTCTTGTCCTACAGAATCATGACTGTGGGGTCTTGTGAGTCAGCATATACAAGCTCATTTACAACCAAGAATCTCGGGGCCTGGGGAGGTTGCCCAGCTAGAAAGCAGCAAGCAAGCACTGAGTGCCTTTGAGCCAAACTTCCTCAGACTCCAACAGTTACTTGTGACCACTCTGCTGTGTAGCTTCCTGGTGTTGTAAATGATTGTTCTTTCCTTTGCTTTCTTGGGTTCAGTGCTGCCATTAGCTGGATGGGGCTAAGAAAAATGAATTCTTTTTTGAGCCTCTGTCTGTTTCAATCTGTAAAAAATGGGTGAGCAACGGCTATCCAGTCCAAAGAGAATCAGTTTATGGTTTAAGGAACCCTAATAATGACTCCAGAAATATCTGTAGACAACTTAGTTAGAGGTTGGGGGAGGGATGAGTAAGGAGGGGAGAGAAAAAAGTTCGCTTTCCCAGGAAGTAGCACATGAACAGACCACAGGGACCTCTTGGACTTTAGGCCCTGGAGACCTACACACGAACCTCCTCCTGCACCCTGAGCCCCACACCCAAGCCACTCTAGTCTGTTACTCTGGTGATCGATCACTCTAGGAGCCTAGAATGAGGCTGACAGTGTCCTCCCCTGGTAAAGATGGTGTCCTGGGACAGAAAGCCTGCCCACCTGGCCATTGCTCTCTTTAGGTGGCAGCCAAGCTATTATTGCCTGTTTGTAATAATTGGAATAATGGATGATTAAGAAGCTCAAGAGGGTGGCTATATAGAGAGTTAATAGATTGTTGCCCCCCTACTCAGCCACCCTACCTCTGCTACCCTACAGGAGCCTACCTGTAGCACCTCCAGCTAGGCTGGGCCCACAATAGTCACTGCTGCTACGTGGGCCACTGGGCTGCCTGACCATACTGCTGGTACAGGGTGGGTCACTTTGTGTTGGTGTCCTCTGTGGGTCACATGAGCTGTCACCGGCTTTATAGGAAGAACCTCCTTAGCCCTTAGTCTCTGCCTGTCTCCAGTGTTGTTCTGTACCCATCATTTCCTACCATGATTCCTCCATAGTATAGTCCGAATATCTCAGCTGATATTCAGGGCCTGTCACAACTGACCTCAGTTTGCCTAGTCCCTTTTATGGCACAGAATTCCCTGTAAACTCCTATCTCTCTGCCTTTGCCAGCTTTGAGTTACCCTCATGTCCTTCTCTGGCACCCTCTGTGGACTCAGCAGCCCCTGAGTGTTGGGAGGCCTCTTCCTCTTCAGCCCCTCTCTGTTCCATCCTTGTCCTGTGCTAACAGTGGGCTGGGTGGCAGCACTGAGGCCCTGGACCCTGTGTGGGGGCAGCCCCAGAGGAAGTGAGGGGTGGGTAGTATTCTCAGTCTCCCTCCAGTCGTCTGCCAAGCCATCCTCTGAGGCTGGCCTAATTCCCTTCAGAGCCCAGCTCCCATCTTCAGGGTGGTGCTTAGGGAGCTGAGAGCCCAACGCTAATGCCTAAGAAAGTCGTGGGTGGATTAGAAAGCGGGGGAGATTAGGGCCAGAGCTGGTGGCTGATGCGGGAGGGGAGCCCCTCCTCTTGAGGAAGAGGAGGCTAATCCTGCTTAGTGACTGAGGAGACAGCAGTGCTGAGAGGAGCCTTCATCCATCCACTCTGCTGCTGCGGCCCAGCAGGAGTGGCAGGAGAAAGATCCATCCACTCCTTCTGTCCTTCACATATTTGGTCTCTGATGCCTCTCCAAGCCATCCTGCTCTGTCTCCTGCATTGCTCCCGCCTCTAGGTAACCCCAAATTTCTTGCCCTTCTTTGCCCAAACTGTCCTATCTAGCCATATCCCCCAACTTTCTCCATGCGTTGAGCCACACTTCATGCATTGAGCCACACTGCCCGGGAAGTCTGTAGTAAGTACTGTGGAGCTGTTCAGATGGCCTGTGAAAGGCAGCCCTGGGGAACGCTGGCTACTGACTACTGATGGTTGACAACCATCCTTAGTTGCCTCACCCTAACTTATGGTCCCTCCTCAGGGTGACTGATCAGAGCAAGAGCACAAAACTCTGGCTCCTTTACTGAGAACTCGGACCAAAGGCCATCCCAGCACAGGACTGGGATGTGGGGTTGGCTGAAGCTGTATCACAGCTCATCCTCTCTCTTTGGCCAGTCCTGTGCCCCACTCCGCCGGACATGACATGATTCCCCAGCTCATTCTCCACAAACCCCCTCCATGCCCCTCTCCAATCTCTGCAAGCAGTGTTGCTCTTCACTTACGTCAAGTCTCATGTTCCAAGACGGAAGAAGATAAGGTTGGTCTGTGAGGGACCTGTCTCAGGAGCTGCTGATTTAGATGCTGGATGATGACCAGCAATTCTTCCCTGAGGAAAAATCCTCAAACTTCTCTGGTTTCCATGGCAGCCATGTAGACTGAAGGTTGGGGGCTCTCCTATCCTGGAGACCCAGCCTGAGATCCCAGTCTGAAAGGAGAGGCAGATTCGGCCTTAGAAGCTGATTGAGGAGAGAGAAAGAAACAATCTTGGTTCGAGAGCTTAATCTGAGGAGGAAGAGAGGAAGTCTGACTGGGCACCAGTTCTGAGTGGAGAAGGGGTGCTATATAGAGCTGAGTCCAAGGGGGAGGACTGGTTGCTAGACCAGAAGAGGCAGCTGGAGCCAGACTCTCCAACCCCATTCACCCAGGTCTTCCTCAACTGGCTTGACTCGCTCTCCAAGGAGTCAGCTGTTACTCTGTACCTGAATGTGGCTGGAAGGGGGTTCTAAGTTAATACTGGGGTGCAAGTGAGAATAGTAGAAGGGACATTCGCTAGTGAATCCCTTGGCTCCATTAGTCTTGATGTTCTGTGGGAACAGAATATTCTGGATGCTGGGCTTCTGAAAAAGTCTGGTCCTAAGGTAACTGGGAGGTGAATGGGTTGAGAGGGTCAGTTTGGGGTGGTCAGTTGAGGGGGACCACTCCCACTCTTTTCCCTACTCTTGATGGACAAATGCTAATAACATTACCAGCAATTGACCAGAAATGAATAAATAATTCAGTCTGGCCTGAAAATGGGAGAAAGTTACTTAAATGCTATTGACAAGCCAGTCCCTGGCCTCATTACCCATGCAGACTCAGGCCTCCACATCGACCCTGTCCCCCTCTCCCCCCGATTCCTTCAAACCCCACTGTGGGCAGCCTGGGGCTTCCTCCCACCCATCTGACCTGGGCTGAATGTGAGAAGGGTGCCCTAAGGAGCTTGGGGTGGAGGGTAGAAGCTGAGGCTCAGTCTAGAGGACCTCACTTCATCCCCCAAAAAGTACATCAGTGCCCTAAGATCTTCCCTTTCCTCAAACACTTCAAACAGCCCCTGTTGAAGGGTTTCCTTGGAGATTCCTCTCACCACCCACCCCAGGTGCACACATGGGAGGGGGCACGAGCAGGCAGGCACACGTGCACATGCACAGCAAGCCTGCAGCTGCCGCA